GTAAGCGTTATTATAAGCATTACAATTATTACTATAAGCATTATCATTATTATTATAAGCACTATTATTATTATTAGTAGTAGTAGTATAAATATAAGCATTATTATTAGTAATAGTAGTATTAGAATTATAAGCATTATTATTATTATCATTATTATTACAATAATAATAATCATTGTTATTATTATAATGATAATAATAGTTATTATTATTATAAGCACCATTATTATTATTATTTTTATAAGCATTATTATTATTATTATCATTATAAACATTATAATAATAATAATAATAATGATTGTTATTATTATATACATTATTATTATTATCATTATAAGCATTATTATAAGAGGTTTACTTGCAATACAATACATTTAACTACAGCACTTTCACAAAGAAAAAAAATGCATACTATTAAAAAAGGGGAAATCAGAGAGGTTTAATCATAAGGAATTGTACTTACATTAAAATACAAAATGATTATAGCTTCTATGTAAAACAAGAGCACATTGAATTTATACAAGACACTTCATAAGGTAAGGTCAAGGGAGATTTAGTATACTCATTTCACAGACGTATTTATAGGTATGCATATAGATAGATAGATTGATAGATGCCTAGCTATGTATCACTCTATAGAATTCTGCGTGAATTCTAAATGTGTATGGGCGTTAATACTGTATCTTAATATATAACTACCTACCCAGTGCTCACACACACGCACACATTCCGCATGTGTATATATTTAATATGTATATATATATATATATATATATATATATATATATGTGTGTGTGTATGTGTGTGTGTGTATGTGTGTGTGTGTGTATAGATATAAATATAAATATATATACATATAAAGATACATAGATAGATAGATATCCATCTATCAGTCTGTAGAACTGTTAATTTTATATACATATGAACATGAATACTCTATCTTGATATATAACGAAATACCCTATGTTATATATATATATATATATATATATATATATATATGTTTGCATGCTTCAAATGTATTTGTATCAGCATACTGCATATTCATAGGTGTATGTGTGTGTGTGTATTTATAGATACCTATTCATCTGTTAATCTCATCTCTCGTACATCTCTCTCTCCCTCATTTTCTCTCTCTCCCTCATTTTCTCTCTCTCTTTCACTCTTCCTCTCTTATGCTCTCTCTCTCTCTCTCACTCTCACTTACGTTGTGTGGTGCAGCGGTAGCGATCTCGTTTAGCAATCTTGCTTATCTGCGTTCGAATCCCTCGCCACCAGTGGATGGTAACCCCGGCCATTCCTCGTACACAGGGGATAATTTAGAAGCAAAATAAAACAGACAGTATGTCACACCAAGAATATCCATTGTAACAAAAGGAATCAAACTAGATTATTAATTATAATTATTATTAATTATTATTATTAATAATTATCACTCTCCCTCTCTCTTCCTCTCTTATTCTCTCTCTTTCTCTATTTTATTTATATACAATACACTTTACAACAATACACTTTACAATACAATACACGTTACAACAATACAGTTTACAATACAATACGCTTTACAATACAATACACTTTACAACAATACACTTTACAATACATTACACATTACAATACAATGCACTTTACAATACAATACACTTTACAACAATACACGTTACTACAGCACTTTCACAATACAAAAGAAAAAGCATACTATTAAAAAAAGGAGAAATCAGTGAGGTTTACTTATAAGCAATTGTACTTACATCCTGCAGTAGTGAATAAAGAAAAGAAAAAAGAAAATTCAAAATTATTATAGCCTGTATTTAAAACAAGAGCTCATAAAATTTATATGGGGAAAGAAGAATTCTGTGAAAAAATATTATACCCTCCCTCTGAATAGTTGATTAAAAACATGATATGCATTCACACACATACACATATATTTATGCCTCTGTATATATATATGTAATTCATATATATATATATATATATATATATATATATATATATATATGTATGTGTGTATGTATGTTGATGGATTCCAGTTGACGTCACATGTTTACATTTTTCACTACTGCGCAGGAGCTGGCAGGCAACTTGTTGCGGCGGCGTGGTGGGCCTAACAGGAAACGATCGGAAAACAATAACTATTTTGATCAGCTGATCCTCTCTGAAAGTACATCTTCATTTTTTTTTCATTTCGTATTCTATGCAATGTTTTCCAGCTCAAAGAAATAGTATAAATCTAAGCTTACACTCACACACAGATGGACATACGCTCCCTGATCCGTACATGTTATTTTGATGCCTTTGTTGTTTACAATTATTAGACAAATACTTCAAGATCTTTCTCGGAAAAATCGCATAATGCATACAAGTCTCTGGAAGCCTACTTTTTTTTTTTTTTTCATTTGCATGTCCAAGACGTTTTTTACCATGAAATCGATAAAAGCAGTAATTTTTGTTTCATTAAGTCACAGTCAGATTTTTTGTTTTAGTTTATAGAAACTTTACCAACAGCAATTCACTTATTCAGAACAGAAAATTACAGCATTTTTTATGTTCCTTGATTGTTTTACTCACATTTTTGATCAAATAGCGACACAAAATTAAACTGGAAGTAACTTGATTCTGAAATTTTCATTCGCTCTTGCATAGGTGAATGCCTTTTACTGACCTGATATAAATTGAGCACTGCAAATGTGTGCGTTGTCAATTTTCTTTGAGCTCCAGTTCTCACGTCTGATGGCAGCTATCCATTTTTTTCGTAACGCAAGGGACTGTTCATTGTTTCCAAATGGAATCCGATAAAAACTCAAATTGCCACCAGATTTTCTTCGATTCGTACAACCAACGGCACAGAACGAGTCGAGCATGAGCATGTTTGTGGTCTGTCAGAGAGAGTCTTGCCTGCCAGCAATTGCGCATGCGTTAATTTCAGCGCTCAAATGTAAACATGGAATCCATCTCTCTCTCTCTCTATATATATATACATGAATATATATATACATATATATATAAACATAATATGTACATATACATATATATAGATAGATAGATATAAAATGTGTGTGTGTATCTGTGTATATATATATTATCATTATTATCAATTATGTAAATTTTATCCATAATTATTATTATTGTTATTGTTTTGTTATTATTATTATTATTATGGTAAGCCATATAAAGAAAAGTTTGAGAATTCTACCCCCAAAGGCATCAGTGCAGGTCAAAACACACTGCCAGGAAAGAAAGAAAGGACAGAAGACCAAAAAGAAGAGAGAAGTGAAAAAAAAAGAGACAAAAGACAAAAAAAAGAGACAGAAGACCAGAAAGACCAAACACAGAAGACCGTCGTCTATTCACGTAGTAGAAACATTTTCGCTGATCTTTTTAAAGTCCTCAAGAGTCGGAGAAGATACAGCCTCTGAAGGCTATTTATTCCAAAGCCTACAAATGGCAGTGAAAAAAACATCTAGAGAACTGAGAAGTCGACGATCGACTTGCATTGGATTGAAGGGCGTAGAAATTCTGGTAGGTTACGCGGGTTGATAGAAAATGGGGTAAAAACGTATAGAGGGGATATGATTTGTCGGTTGCAATCTTGTACAAGACCGAGAGAGCCCCAATATGGTGCCCAGTGTCCCAATTTAAGTCAGACAGGAGGAGAAATGTAATGGGATTTAAAGAACGATTAAGCAATAGTATGACTGCGGCGGATATCGACACAGTAGAACAGTACTCAAAAACGAGGCAGAATAGAAGAGAAGAAAAATCTACGAGTAATGCCGTCATCTTCGTATATCTTGCCAATGTTGCCCCACATAGATGAAACTGCCCCGGGCCATATTCCTAATTTGCATTTCAAATGTAAGCATTAAATCAGGAACTTTAGACTATCCACTGAAGTCCATTAATCATATTGCTGATCTGCAGTTCCAATGTAAGCGTTGAATCAAACATTACACCTAAAAGCTTTAGATTATCCACAGAAGCGATTAAGACTCCTGATCAATTTGCACATAATTGCAGACTTGGATGCTGAGGCAACGGCGTTTTAAACCGACTCACAATCTTTTCCTTGGACTGGGAAGGATTTAATGTCATGCCTCAGCGAGAGCACCAGGATTGAATTATCATCATGTAAATTTATTATGCATACATACACAATATATAGATGTGTATATAATATATATATATATATATATATATATATTATGTATACATGTGATTTATATATATATATATATACATATATATATATATAAACATAATATGTACATATACATATATATAGATAGATATATAATGTGTGTGTGTATCTGTGTATATATATTATCATTATTATCAATTTTGTCAATTTTATCCATTATTATTATTATTGTTATTGTTTTGTTATTATTATTATTATTATGGTAAGCCATATAAAGAAAAGTTTGAGAATTCTACCCCCAAAGGCATCAGTGCAGGTCAAAACACACTGCCAGGAAAGAAAGAAAGGACAGAAGACCAAAAAGAAGAGAGAAGAAGTGAAAAAAAGAGACAAAAGACAAAAAAAAGAGACAGAAGACCAGAAAGACCAAACACAGAAGACCGTCGTCTATTCACGTAGTAGAAACATTTTCGCTGATCTTTTTAAAGTCCTCAAGAGTCGGAGAAGTTATAGACTCTGAAGGCCATTTATTCCAAAGCCTACAAATGACAGTGAAAAAAAGCATTTAGAGAACTGAGAAGTCGACGGTCGACTTGCATTGGATTAAGGGGCGTAGAAATTCTGGTAGGTCACGCGGGTTGATAGAAAATGAGGTAAAAACGTATAGAGGGGATATGATTTGTCGGTTGCAATCTTGTACAAGACCGAGAGAGCCCCAATATGGTGCCCAGTGTCCCAATTTAAGTCAGACAGGAGGAGAAATGTAATGGGATTTAAAGAACGATTAAGCAATAGTATGACTGCGGCGGATATCGACACAGTAGAACAGTACTCAAAAACGAGGCAGAATAGAAGAGAA